CAGAATAACGAATTCTGGGTTTTATTTAATAAGAAAAATTTTATCACGATTAATGATATCTTCAAGTTTTTTGACATTTTTATACCAACTGGTGCTATGAAACTGATGCTGAATCTTTTGCATCTCCAATGCAATTTGATATTTTTGAAAGAATGTATTCTTGCATGAAAGAGAAGAGATACTCAATTATCAGCTCTTCATTAAGAATTTCTTAGCTATCAGAATGTATCTATTTTGGAATTTACAATTTTTCTTAGATTCCCTTTCCACCTGATCCTGCTCCAACTTTATAATTCTAGCTAAGAGTCTGACTTCAGATTCCTCGAATCCAAACTTGAGTTTAACATTCTCAATATCCACTTCTATTTCTTCTCCATAAGGTGTCTCAGTTTTACATTTTTGGTCTCAAGTTTTTCTTAAAAAAGTCCTTAAAAATTATTAATTGTCAATTATTATGTTAGTTTGCAAATTATTATTATTAATATAATATTATGTAATGTGTTCTTTTATTTGTATTAAAATTTATTTGAATTAATAAAAAAATTTTTTCATAAAATTTTCTCCCTTTTTATTGCAAAAAAAAATTATTATTAAAGTCATCTATTTTTAGATACTTATCAATTACCCAATTAATAAGTATTAATTAATTCTATTTTTATATACTAATTTTTTACATAACATTTTTAAATTTACAATATCTCAATTTTTTACTATGCAAATTAATTTCTATTTATAATTGAAAAATATAACTTTTGCTAAACTTCATTTAAATTTAACTAAACTCATTTTTTGTTTTTAGAATAGCTTTTTCTCTTTCTATTATAAAGCATTTATATTTAAGTTTTTAATAGAATTATATAAGTAATGTAACTAAGACATTTCATATCAATATATTTAATTTTATTAATTAATTGTTGAATAATAAAGAAATTAGCATATCTAGTTTAGTTAGTAATAATTAAGCTCTAATTGGATTACATTACAATAGTTACAGATTTAAGCCTTAGCTAATGTATAAATTGAATACTTTTTATAAGAATTTATTATAACTGAATACGTAAGTATATATATTAAAATACATTAGAAACTGATTAATTAATCTATTGATTGATATTTATTATGCCTAAATAATAGATTTAAAGAATAAGTAAATATAAATAAAATTAAAGATTAATAGTAATTTAGTCTTTGCTAATAATCTATAATAGATACTATCTCACATCTTCAAATTTAAGAGTCCTTATACAAATAAAGAAGTAGTTAATTAGTAATTAGAAGATTAGGTTTGCAAAAGCTAAAGTGATAATTAATTGTATTATACTGCTATAGTATCATTTGATCATTTATGGTAGAAATCAGATTTGATTTTTAGATGAATTTTATAATATAGGTATAACAATCACTTACTTTTTAAATTCTATATGAGATAGTAACTTTCAGAATATAAGTTTTATAAAGTTGTTTCATCCTAAATTTTTCTGATTATATATTAAATATCTTAATAATAGATAGTAAATCATAGTAATTCTGATTGGTATTAGTAAGAATAAGAAAGTGACAATCTCTATAGCTGAAAGTGTCTCTTTATTTAAATTTGACAACAGTTTTAAAGGTTTAGAGATTTTAAAATTTAGGTTTAAAGTATTTATAATCTAATGATAATTTTCAAGTTAGTATCAATAGGGTAAGTTCTGATTAGAATTTGAATTCAATTATGATTTCAAGAATTTAGATTTTATTAGGAATAATCCAAATAGTATATTTATAATTAATAGATTTCTAGTGTTCAATTACTAAAACTTCAAAAAAAATTATAATTGAATAATATAATATTAATTTTAGAAAATCTATAAAGTATTATTAAACTAATGTAGAAAAATAATGATATAAAAATTAAAATTAAGAATTTTTATAATTAAAAAGTAAAATAATATTTATAAAATTTTAAAAAAAAATAGTAAAAATTTTAATTTCAAAAATAAATTGATTAGTTTCAAAGATATTTTGAATAATGGTTTATTTTATTAATTAAAAAGTAATTGTAAATTTATAGAGAATGAATTATTTTTTATTTTATATTATAATATATATATACAGTATATACCAATATTAAAATTAAATTAGTTTAATATTTATTTTTACTAAAAATATGATTTATTAAATAATATGAGAAGTTTGTTAAGAAAATAGGACTCTGGGAATTTTTATGATTAAAATTAAGATCTTATTATATTTTAATCTAATAACGTCAAAAACTAAAATGCAATAAAAAATAAAATTTTATTAATAAATTCTCAAAGCTCTATTTTTCTAGCAAACCTCCTATATATTAAAAAATCAAAGAAATAAATTGAAAATTCTTTGAAAAATCAAATTTTTCAAAGAATTATTATAATATTTATTTTATATATCTTATAATAAAAATGATTAATAAAAATAATAATATTTACTAAAATTATATGAAATAACTTAATATTTTATTAATGTTTATTATTATATAATATTTAAATGAAATTATGATATTAAATATATAGCATATATTTTATTTATAATAAATAAGTTTATTAATTGAAAAAATTCTAAATTCATAATATACATAGTAAAAATAAAAAAAATAAAAAATATGGGAAGTTTGCTAGGAAAATCATGTTCTGAGAAGTTTTAGTAAAATTTTATTTTTATTGTAATTCAGTTTTTGATGTTATTAGATTAAAATGTAATAAGGTCTTAATTTTAGTCAAAAAATTCTCAGAACCTGATTTTTCTAACAATATTCCTATATGATATAATGTGATAATATTTTAACTGTAAATAAATTATAAATATTTTTTGAATTTATAAATTTTAATATATTTATTTTATTAATATATATTTATTAGAACTTGAAAAATAACTTATATTAACTTTTATTTTAATTTGTGTATTTATAAATTTTCATTAATATAGTCTATCTTAATAAAAATACTTTAAAAATTAAGATTTTTAACTTATAACTTAATTTGACTTAATTTATTAGAAATTTTAATATTTATTATTTATTATTAAAAAATGTTTATTTTATAATTAAGCTTATTAAAAATTATATATATATATATTTTTTTAAATATAATTTTAATTTTAATCATTTTTAGATAAAAAAATATTTATTATTTCAAGTTGGATTATCTTATTATTATATTATATATTCAGATTTTTTTCTTTTTATTAAAGTTATATTAGTTATATTATAGTTAAAATTTTTATTATCCTTTATAATTATGATATATTATTTTTTAATATAAAGTATAAATATTATTATTTTAGATATTTATATTTATATAATATTTTATATAATTTATATAGAATTATATTTTGATTTTTATTTTTATATTAAAATTTAAATTAAATTTATTGAAGTTTTATAAATTTATTTATATAAATAATTTATATTTGATTATATTTCTAATTTATAATTTTATATTTACAAAAGTTTTAATAATATAAATATTAATTAAAATATTAAATATTAATATTTATATAGAAAGTTTTATTAAAAAAAAAAATTTCAAAATTTTTAATCCTTAAAAGTTATTAATAAGATAAAAAAAAAAAATTTTTAAAAAATATTAATATATTTAATAAAAAAAACTATTAAAAAAATATTAGATATTATTTTAAATTTTCTAAAGTAAGTCTTTTAACCATTTATTTTTATAATAGAATATTTAGTATAAAGGATGATTATTTTTTTCTACTATTTCAAATTATAAATAATCTTGTAATAAGAAATTAAAGTTTAATTAATACTTTATTCTTTAAGAAAATCCCTTTTTCGATTGCAATACGATTTGATTGGCTAATGCTTGTACGGTCGATCTATCCGATCGATGCACAATCTTGAACCAATCAAATTCAAAGGAGATTGGACCTAAACCCAGGTAGCAAGGCTAAGGATCACCATCAGATTTATTGGAGCACGGAATCGACCAATCAATTAGAAATAAACATTTCTTCATTATGTTACTAAATCGGCCTCGGATCCATCCAGTTATAAAACGATCAATACTTGTTGTTTATTTTTGAAAATATCTCGGGTTCAAAATGTATTTAAAATATTTAAAATAACATTACCTCAATTCAATTTTCCAAAGTAGAGGATGAACGAATCGGAATTTTTACTGCGCTTGTAAATGTGTCACATAAAGACTCATTGGTAGCACTTTGTTATGATGCATGGAATTTGATGTTACTTTGTTACTTGAAAATCTCCAAATTTCCAAATTCAATATAATCAATATGATTTTTCTTTCATATGAATTCCTGTTTTGGAAGGTTGTTATGAACACATCATTTCATTAGTTATTTACATCCTAAATAAAAAGAATGAATTTCCTTATCGTCTTCTCAACCTCATTTTCACTTTTTTTTTTATCTTTTCCTTTGTAAAAAAAAAATAAAATAAAATAAAATAAATGCAAGAATCGTTGGAGGAATCGGAATGTCTATTTTGGCCGGATATTATGAACGACTTTAAACAACTTTTGGAAGCCGAAGAAGGATGTGATGTCATATTTTACGTTGGGGAAGAACCGATCGTTAAGAAATTTTACGCACACTCACTTATACTTGGGTGCAGATCACAATATTTCTCGATATTATTTTCAAATGTAATCAAGAAAGTGGATGGATGTTTTATTATAAAGAAACCAAATATCCCTTCAGAAAATTTTCATAATATATTAAGGTGGGCTTTCGTTAAAGAACCTTTTTGTTAAAAAAAAAAAATAAAAAATATAAAGACTTTTTTTCTAATTCCCTATGAATTATTTATTTATTTTTATTTTTAAAGTTATATATATTGCGGCGATATAAATTTAAAACAGCATAGCGGAGAAGATATATTAAATATAATAGTAGCGGCATCGGAATTTTACTTAGAAAATCTTGTCGAACACGCAAAAGATTACCTCTTTACAAATCGTAAGGAGATATTGCAAAACGGCAATCCTCTCGAACTTCTCATGTTAACTTTTCAACATGATTCATTATTTTCGTTACAGGATATGATCATTCAATCAATCTGTCAAAAACCTAAAGTAATTTTTAATACACAATATTTTTATTGCCTTCCACCAAATGTCCTGGAGACATTGATTAAAAGGGAAGATTTGAAATTGGATGAAATAATTATCTGGGAAAATTTAGTTAAATGGTGCGTTTATCAATGTAAATATTTTGAAAATGATAAGGATATTTTTACAATCAATTTTAGTGATATAGAAATAAATACCATTAAAAATACACTTGAGAATTACATTTATTTAATTAATTTTCAAGGAATTTCTGCCAGAGACTTCATAAACAAAGTGATGCCATATGAAGAATTATTACCAAGGGAACTTAAAAAGGACATTTTAAGATATCACATGTTACCAGGCGTTGAAAGTCCGGACAGCCCAAGCTCAAACAACACGCCAGAACCTCCTCAATCTCCTACGGCATCATTAAGTTCAGAATCATCCGATCCAATCACTTCAATAATAACATGTTCTTATTTCCCCCCACAACCTCCACAACGAAAGATGGCGCATATAGATTCGAATTTGATCAATCATTTACACGTGGCCTTGTTTGCGACTTGGATTGATAAAAAATCCGAGATATATAACAATTCAAAATCAATCATTTACGAATTTAACTTACTTTTCAGGTCATCGAGGGATGGAACTTATGGTAATACCTTTCATAAAAAATGTGATAGGAAAGGCCCAACCATTGTGATAGCAAAAATCAAGGATTCGAAAATATTAATTGGAGGGTATAACCCTATAGGGTGGGAAGGTGATTGTATCAAATCTACTTTAAATAGTTTCTTATTTTTATTTAACGATTCAAATGATGTTGTTACGGGAAGGATAGGTAGGGTTATCAGACCAAAAGGGTCCATAAGATGTTTCAAAGGTTGGGGTCCCATATTCGGTGATTTAAATGGTGATAGCAATGATTTGGCCATGACAAATTTGGGTAATTGGAGTTCAAGCAGTGGTTCTTACGAAAATGTCGGAATCCCTAATCATTTTAAAGTTGAGGAATGGGAAGTATTTCAGATAAAGAAGAAGAAAGAATATGAATTATTAGGTATATAATAATAAAATTTTATTTTTTTTTATAAAAAATTCATTTTGATCCGAGAGTCACACTCGAGGTAATTGTTTTCCAGTAATGGTAATAATGTTGAATGAATAATGATTATCCTAATATAGAAGCTCAATGCCGCAAGTATAACGAAAATAATTGGTACTTTCTAGGCGTTTGTATGATCATTTTTTGCAATAGAAAAGGGCGGAATATGCCAAATTTGATTTTTAAATCAAAATATGTTGAGTTTTTGCATTAACTCATTTTTATTTTTCTCGCCGTTTCCCTCCTTTTCTATTGCAAAGGTCCCATACCCAATTATACGATATTTTCGTTCATTTAATGCCGCAGAATTCCAACAAATTTGGAATCTGTTCAACACAATTAATTGGAGGAATGAAAGCGTAAAAATTACAATGAATAGTATCTTGCAAATAATTTAATCTAGCAGATTGGGAAATAAAAAAAAATCTTTCTTTTTGGCAATTGAAACAATAATTGGTTCACACAAATAAGCACCAAATAATTTTTGTATTTCAATTAAAATGAAATACAATGCAATTGTAATTGATAGATTTGCCATTTACATAAAGATGAAACATTTATTTTTATTTTTTTTTATTTTGAAACTTCGAGCAATGGAATTTGAAATTTATTTTATTCAAAACGAGTAGATGATGACGTAATTATATATATCATTAATTGAAAAATAAAAAATTCTCTGTGTCTAAGTATATATTATTATTATTATTATATTATTATATTATTGTAATTTATAATAGATGGGTTAATTTTATTTTACATTATCTAACTACCTTATCACTTTGATTTATATAATATTTACAGTTGTTCGTCGATAAAGATTTGTAAATTTGTAATAGAAAATATTTAATATATTATAATGTCCCTGCATTCGTCTATCAGGAATCTATATACCAATCGATAATTAATAACCATTGATTTATCTTAACTGAAGCATGCTGTTAAACTTCGACTCGTTTGATTGATTTCTTATCCTCCTCTTCTCATTTTCGGCGGCTTTGATGCTTTTTACGGACTTTTCGCATGTACCAATTTTTCTCAAAGGATCTTCTGATGCGATTGAAGGTAGTCCACTAATTACTCCCAATATATCTTGGATTCGAAGAAGTACCGGCTTCTCAGTTTTTTGAGGTTCTTGGACCACATTTTTTGACATACTGCCCGTAATCGGTGTGACGATTTCTGTTATAAAGTTTAAACCCATGGGATTTTGATCATGTGGTGCTTGAGTAATTGCTTCAGACACATTGCTATTAATAGCGACATCATCGATAACATCGACAACAGTTTCTTAATTTTATAAGATATCTTAGCTTGATTAACCCATTGTTAAAAAACTCAAATAACAATGTAAATCTCATAGGCACCATTCTCTTTTTCCAACTGAATCCTCTTGATGCTCCGAGTATCAACTTCTTGAAATGTTCTCTAATAAAATCAAATATTGCAAAGACTTTATAATAATCATCAATTTATAAGAGATAAAATAAGTGACATTACCGAATCATTCCAATCGATAACTTTTCGTTTCTTGGTCATTAATTCAGATTCATCAATATTAGGGTAGAAACTTTTAAATAGGGAGAAATTTCTACAACTGACATTTTCCATGAACCAATCATCCTTTGGCTCAACCCTCTTATTTGCCCATAACTTTCGAACTCGAGGATTTTGGTAAAAATCTTTTGGTGGTTTGTCTCTTATGTGATTAACCTTTGTCACTTTCGTTTCTTCCATCATCATTTTCGCGAACTTCATTTTTTTCGCCATTTCCTTCTTTGTTTTCGCTTCCGCTATAGCATTTCTTGCTTCTGATGAATTGCCTTTAGAAGCTTCCTTTTTCGCTCGTCTCCTGATTTTCATTAACGCTTTATGTGCGACATTAAGTTTAGCCAACACCTTTGTTGGCATTGGATCGGAAATTTCAATTTTATCATTAAATTCTAAAGTGCACGAGTGTAAGTTATGTGTTGGATCAAGATAATCCTTGTACTTTGGTGGTTTCAGTCCTTGATTCGCTCTACAAAGTTTTTCCAAACTCAATACTGGACCCGGATTTGACATCAAATAACCATATGGATTCGTGGTTGATGGAAACGCCACGTTGATGAACGATTTTATACTTTTCTTAAAGTCTTCTCGCTTCTTATGTAGAATCTCATTGGCAGATCCCTTTATTCGTGACTTTGTCCGCTTGGAAAATTTCTGACGTTCAATAACGTCCACTGGTAAATGAATTTTTTTAGGAACTCCCAAAGATTTGAGCGTAAAGAAGCGCTAAATAAAGGAAAAGAGGTTCCTTTAATACCCTTTCAAACTAAAAAACAGTCATGTTTACATGAAGACTTAATAACATAATTTACTCACATCTTCCCTTCCTTCTGACTTGATATCTTTCAAAACGTGCGGGCGTCTTGAACTTTTACAAACCTTGGAATAAGCTGTTATTCGTTTGACAATTCCCATATCACTCTACTTTATATAAGAAAGACAAAAAAAAAAAAAATAAAAGAGAGAAAACAGTAGATTCAGTCGAATGGGGTTGAGAATCCAAGATTCAAAAAATGAAAAAGAAAGGGAGCTTTTTTATAGTTTGTGAAAATTACATCATAAAAATATGCGAAGGGGAAAAACCAATAAAAGAACATAAAGGAACGTTACGCAAATATACGATTATCTCAAACGCGTCAAAAATTAGTAAATCCTCTTTCATTCTTCTTTCTTTTTTGGTCATTGTATAAATAAATAAAAAAAAAAAGAATAAAAAAAAATATTATTGACCTTTTTTTCTTTTTAAAAATAAATTAAAATAGCGATAGCTAATTAAAACGATATAAAAAAAAAAAAAAAAAAGGTCACTATCATTGTTTCAAAGCCACGAACTTTCTAAATGTAATGTTTATCTCTATCATCTGCCAATATATCGAATATTCCGAAATTCCGAATATCATAGATCACGATTTTCTGGACACATCGTATGTTTGTCATTTTCGCCTTGTACAGTATGTTTTTGTTTCACATTTTCTTTGAGATAATTAACGAAGAAACGTTTGGAAAAATTTTGTTAGTCCAACATTCGTTTTATGCACGTGATCAAACTCCCAAGCAAGTTAAAGCAGATCCGTGTAACTAACAACTTGGGAAATCGAACAATGTAATATGAGGCTGGTTTTTGCTTCTCTTAGATTTATAGCATTTACTATGGAACTATTTATAAATTCTTTTTGGGAGAAAATATAATAATTATAAGTTTACAATTTACGAGTTTTGGTTGGCAAGTTCAGGAACATTCCAGACAATATAATAATTTAAAAATGTGTACGCCCATTGTTCATTGTTCAAATTTATTTATTATAATTAAAAATAGATGTTTTTGTTATCGTTATTTGTTCAAGTTGAACTCTTGTAATAATATAATCTCGTGTCCATGTCGATCCACAAAAACGACTTTAGGAGGTCTTTTATTGACAAACGTAATATTAATAATAGATAAATATATAAAAATAATAAATTCCTTTTCTTAAAGGACGAAAAAGAATCAATATTATAACTTACCGGGTTATGGTAGGATGCACCTTAACTTCATCTTTAACAGAAACAATCTCCTTTACATATCCTTGCCTTGAGCTATCACAATATACCGGTTCGATATGTTTTAATTCCTATTCAATTGGTAAAGGCGTTGTATCATTATCGTAAATAAATCCTTCAGCCTCAGCTTTAAAATTCAAAGAAACTTTCTAAAAAAAAAAAAAAAAGTCACCAACATAAAATTGATTTGAAGACATTTTAATGTCTTCGTTGGGAAAATTTTTTTTGATTTTTTTTGACCAGGTAATTTTGGAAAAAAAAAAAAAATTTCGTTTTAGACGTTCTTTTTTTGATTGACGGGAGGGCTTATTTATAAATATATATCGTGACAAACTTCGACGCTTAAAACAATAAAATGATGCAACCATTACACATGTGAGTGTTTATATATCTTTCACGAGAAAATGCATGACTGAACGTTTGCGTATATTATGATGTTATGATTGTAATTTCATTAACCAAATATAAAATCCATCAAAAATAAGTTTGACTTTATAAAGACTTAAAAACAAAAGTGAGTGATTTTTATCACATGATTTATTTACATAAAAAAAACAAATTTTTGATACTGTCCTACAAAGAAAAAAAAAATTCCTTTTTTTAAAGCTATGCAGATCTATGCTCTAAGTTTCTATTCAAAGGAGATTTGTCACCCCAGTAAATCAAAGAATCATAAACTAAGCCGGCAACCAAACCACCAACAATTGGAGCTACGATAGGAATCCAAAAGTAGAAATTATGTTCCGAGAAAACTTTAACACCGTAACCAACAAAGAAAGTAAACAACCTCGGACCAAAGTCACGAGCACCATTTAAACTAAAACCGGTTTCATAACCAAATGAAATGGCAATGGCGGCCAAGGTAAGACCAATCGTGAGTGGGGTAACAATTCTAGCGGTAGGCGCATTTCGTTCATCAGTTAAGGCAAGGATGATCAATAATAAGAAGAAGGTTCCAAGAGCTTCAGAGAAGAAGGCACCCAAGTTTGACATGAATGGTTGGGGATAAGTGGCAAAAATACCAGCCGTCGCATTTTGTCCCGTAACACTTCTATCACCTCCAGCAAAATTGTCGATGGCCGACACGTAATTAAAGTAAACTACCGCAGCCGCGACAAAGGCTCCAAGCGTTTGAGCGGTAATGTAAATCGGAACTTTAATCCAAGGGAATTTACGAAAAACTGCCATGGTGATAGTAACGGCTGGGTTCAAATGACCTCCAGAGACGGCCCCGCTAACTACAATACCTAATGCGAGACCTAAACCAAATCCTAAGGCAATCGTAATCCAATTCCCATTTTCTCCTTTACTGAGGACAGTTTGAGCGATACTTCCTACACCAAATGAAACCAAAACAAAAGTTCCCAAGAATTCTGCGAATATATCATCAAATTTATATTTAATAAATTGCCACCCTTGTCTTTGAATTACAATCACATCATCTGAACTTGATCCTCCTTCATTAGTTTCAGTTGCTCCGTAATTTGATGGTCCACTTTTATTGATTGCTCCACGTTCTTCTGCCATTTTTCTTTTTCTTTTTTTGTTTCCTTCTAAATCAAGAGGAAAGAAATTTGGAAAGTTTTATTAATAAATAACTCAAGGAAGAAATCTCTTGATTGATTATCATTTTGTGAAGTCGCTGATTTATATCAATTCCATCTGAAAAAAATTTTCCTATCGGTGTAATGAGCTTATTCCTATCTAATAGAAGCACAAACTTTAAAAATCGAATCTTAATAACAATCATTGTTTGTTGTGCAAGGCGTAAAATTATTTCTAAAAGGTTTTATTAAAGTGAAAAAAACTAGTTTTTTAACTTCACCCCCTTAATGTTTGACTTTCAATAAACTTTTTGATACACAGTCTTGTAGATCATAAAAACTTTATATTACATCATCATAATCTCGATGGTTGATAATGCTTTTGTTTATTTTATCTATCTTTTATGATTTCCCTTTTATAATTATATTTTGAGAAAGTTTTATCAAGATTTAATGAGAGAAATCGCTAAATGTTGTACAGAATGCATTACAGACTTTATTGATTTTTTTTAAAGATTGATAGTCAATGTTTGGGTAGAATAACGCCACAGGGGTTTTTTGTTAACAGATTTAGTTTTTTTTTGTTAATCAGTAAAGGTAAATAATTTCTATTATTCTAAGGAACGGAAGATAGTTTTCGTTGTGTGATACTTTTGTCATTACGACCAGTAGAAATGTCACTTGAGCAACCAAATTTCTTGTGATTCCCAACAGATATCCGTACATAATAGAAGATGGTTTGAATACAAACTTGTACCGGTGGATCAATTATACGGATCGTATTGAAAAGATTTTGGCGTAATGTCTTTATCAAATTTGGTTTGAAACAAACTCATATTCGATCAAAAAGAATACGTCTTTGTTAATGTGTTTAGAGAACGTAATTTCTCTCGTGGAATCTTAAAATCAAGTTAGAGTTTAGGTTTAGCTCTTTGGCTTTTGTTTAAACGGGCACCTATTGAAACAAAGATGGAATCGGAAAACAAGCTGATGCTTTCAATAAATACATCAATCCTTCTATTCTTCTAAGGCTTTTTGGAAAACCATACTTATGCATAAAGAAAAGGTTCAAATGTTTCCAAACGAGAACAAAGATGCTGTGTATGCGATTAGGATTATTGTGAATTATCTAGATTATTAATATTACCTTTTATTTAAAAAAAAATAAAAAATTTCTTTTTAATAAGTATTAAAGGTATTTTAATATTTAGTAATTAATATTAAAAAATATTAAAAGATATAAATTATTAATATTAATTTAACATATTAATTTATTCTTAATTAACATAAATACAATATATTAATAATATATTTATAGAATATTACAATAAAATTACAATAATTAATATATATTTAAAAATTTATAGTATTTGCTTTTTATCTAAAAATAATTTTATAATATTATTATTTTATTTATTATAATATATTTTATATATATATATATATTATAATTTAAATTATCTTAATATTAATATATATTAAAAATAAAAATTAATTTTATATTTATATTCATTTAAGATAATTTTTAATATATTTTAAAATTATAAAAGATATTAAAAATAAATATATTAACTTAATTCTTTAAAAAAATAAATTTATAAAAATATTATAAAGATATAATATTTTAAAATATATTATATTTTTAAAAATTTTATAATTTTATATTTCTTATTTTAAAAAATTAATATTAAATTATAATATACTTATAAAAATAAGATATTTAAAAATATTATTTTCTTTAGAGAGTTTTAAATAAATTAAATTTAAAAACTTAAATTAATAAAGAAAATTTTTAAATTTTAATATATTTAAATTTATTTAAATTAACTTAAATTATATTTAAATTTAATTATTAAAGTATAATTATAAAATACCTATATTTTATATTTAAAATATTTTTAAAAACTAATTATAAAAAATATAATATTATAATAAATAAAATATAATTAAAATTAATTTAATAAATATTATTTAAACTATATATATAAAATTATTTCAAAATATTTTAAAAAATTAAAATATTTTGATATCTAATAATTATAAAAGATAAAATAAAATTTTTAGATTTATTATATTATGATATATCTAATAGTAGTATTTTTAAACTTTTAAAATTAATAATTATCAATATTTATTAATTTTTTAATTTTTTAATTTTTAAAAATATTTTATTATTTAATAATTACAAAAATATAAAAAAAATATATAAAATACCTTCTGGTAATCACTTGATTAAGAAATTTTATGTAAAAAAATATATATGTTTAAGAGTGATTACAATTTAACCTGTGAGTAATAAATAAAAACTCTCTTTATAAACTTCTTTTTTTC